TGGGGTGTCCAGCCCAACTGATACATCTCCACACAAACCCTTTAGGTGAGGCTCAGGGAATTTCATGGAAGAGGGGACAGAAAGACCGTAATAGTCAGAGGACCAGGATATCTGCCATGAGGTAGTGTCTTCTATGTATCAGAGGCAAGCTGCGACCGTGAAATCTTAACCATATGGCTGCCTATGCAGAACCCATACAATAACAAGGCCAGCTGACATGTTAATATGGATGTGGTAAATCTCACAGGGTCCACCCCTAAATAAACACCTACATGCAATTAATGGCTGCTGAGAGAGAATCAATTTCTCCAGGGACAAATCCTATTATAGGTTATTCTAAGCTGTCATCCCTACATGTGTATATGAGAACACTAATGGACTCAGCAGTATATACATGTATGTTACATAATGCATTGTATGTTTTTTATTTTTTATTATTTTTATTTTATTTTATTTTATTTTGGCTTTTTGAGACAGGGTTTCTCTGTGTAGCTTTGGAGCCTATCCTGGCACTCACTCTGGAGACCAGGCTGGCCTGGAACTCACAGAGATCCACCTGCCTCTGCCTCCCGAGTGCTGGGATTAAAGGCATGCGCCACCAAGCCCGGCAAAAAAGAACTCTCAATAAACAATTTATTTATGCCAGTGGTTCTGGAATTGATGTGAAGTTGAAGTATGTGGTATAACAAATTATGACATACATGCTGACAATTTGAAATAACAGAAGAAACACAAAATCTGACCCATGAACAAGTATGTTTCAGAGATAAACTATAGGCTACCACACAGTAGTATTCTCTTCAGTAGGCTCATGTGATAGCCTTTAACAATATTTTCATGTCTTACATCACAATGAATCTCTGTTGTTGGCTTTCTTGTGAGGGACATGTCTCTCCACAGAGTTGTTCACATTTATTTTCTGGGGGGTAGATCTCACACCGAGACTCACATATGCTGGAAACTCCCTAGAGGGTGGTGGCAGGTATCCATGCAGTCAAGCATCTTGTATATGGTTGAGAATACCCTACCCTCTTCCCCAGCCATTTGACTCTCAGCCCCTCATATAGAACCATTTCTGTTTGGTGAGTTGTGGTCTAGGGAATTTGTTCAGGGTTCCAGCATTTGGCTTTGTAACTCTATAGGATTCTGGATTTTTTCTTTTTTCTATTTCAGATTTTACGAGTTTTGCTTTTGGGGCATTTAAAGCCATTGGATTGTTGGTATTTGGAACTATAACCTTAAAATCCTGCTTCCCAGGCTGGCAGTGTTTGCAGTGGGGCAACGATCCTTCCAATTAAGATGAAGAGCCTTTCAGTAAGATCAAGCTGGCTGGGTCAGAGTTTTAGAGCAGAGAGTCCTCTCCAATGTGGTTCTGTTTATATGATCTCTCAAATACTGCCAATATGGCCTGGACTCTGTCCCTTCTTTCAGGGTACATCTGGGAAGCTCCTATTCTCCAAGGCATCACCTCCATGGACAATCACATTGGTTCTGTTTTATAGGAAAGGATAAAGTAAGGACACTGTGTCAGAGCCTAGTGACCAGTGACTGTCATTCAGTTCAAAAATCACAGTCACGAGAAGTCAGAGCAGCTCCCTCTGGTTGCCCCTCCAACCCTTCACAAAGTAGAGGTTCCTCTGTTTGTCACACTACCTACTGGGATCACACTTGCTCCAATGCCAGATGACTCGCATTTGTTTACTGTTTTCCAAGTGCACGGCTAAAACGTACCCTTTGCAACTGGCTTCTGTTCACTTTACTTTGTTCTTAGTAGCTTCATTCCATGTGTCTAGTCACTGATTGATGGGTCGGCCTACCCATTCATTTATTCATCGGTATAGGATGCCTACTATACAGTATAACAAGTCAGTCACGAGCCTCAAAGTCCAAGAGTTGACAGGTTATCACGAAGTATCACGGGACTTGTGTAAGGATAAGCCATACTGTGTGTGGTCACTATCAACCCCATGCTATAAGAATGAGGAGGAAGTGCAACGGGAGGGTGTGGTTTTACAGGCACCATCAGTGCTATGGTCTGAATGTCTAACCCCTCCAACATTTGTATGTTGCATCTATAACCAATGTGATGGTATTTGAAGAGGGCTAGGTCACGTGGATTAGCACCCCTCACTAGACTAGGCTGTGTGGCCCAAGAGCCCTTGAGATTCACCTATCCCCCTTCCCACCACACTGGGATTTCAGGCACAAGGTGCCCAAGTTCCTGTAAACAACTTCTTACTCATGCTCCTATAAGCAACTCTTAATTAAAAATATGAAAGTAGAAAGCAGGCTTGCTGGGAAGAGGACGGGAACCCATGGGAGGGTCAAGAGAAGGTAACAGGGTGAACAGAGCTAGAATAAGTTATTTACCGGTGTGGGTAAGGATAGGATCTGGTCAAGGAGGGGACACTTGGATCTTCCTAGGAAGGGGAAATAGAATAGATTTCACTGGTGGACTGGGGGCTGGTGAGAATGGGAACAGGAGAAATCAGATAAGGATAGGGGAATGAGGAGGAGAGTACTGGAAGAGATGACTAGAAAAGGGGCATTTTGAGGTGAGGCAGAAACCTAGTGCAATGGAAATTGCCAGGAATCTACAAGAGTGACCCTAACTAAGATTCCTAGCATAGGAGATACCAGAGACCTAGGATAGAACCAAACACACCTGGCAAAAAAAGTCAGTGAAATAATTCCTAATGATATTCTACTATACTCATAGAGAAGAGGCTAGCATGATCGTCATCAGAGAAGCTTCATCCAGCAACTGATGGGAGCAGATGCAGAGACCCACAGCCAAACAGTAGACTGAGCCCCGGGGAATTCTGCAGAATAGGGGGGAAAGGATTGTAGGAGCCAGAGGAATCAAGGGCACCACAAGAAAACCAAAGAATTATCTTAACTGGGCTCACAGTGGCTCACAGAAACTGAACCTACAACCAGAGAGCCTGCGTGAGACTGACCTAGGCCCTCTGCACATATGTTTCAGGATAGTATGTACTGAGATATTAATTACTAAGGGTAGGTTTGGAAAGAAAATAAGCAGAGTAAGACTGGGGATTAGTATTCAAGCAATAGAAAATAAAAACAGAACTGGGGAAAGTAAATTGAGGCAAAAAGGAAGGAAGAAAATGAACCCTCTCTAAAGTTATGCAGAAACTATAAAATGTTAAAAAAAACCTCAATTATACAATTTGAAATATTCCCAGCACTTAAGAGGCTGAAGCAGGAAGATCCTAAGGCAGGCAGGGAGACTGTAAGGCTAGGTCAATCTGTGGCCTTTGGGAATGAGAGAGAGAGAGAGAGAGAGAGAGAGAGAGAGAGAGAGAGAGAACAATGAAACACCGAGTTGAAATCAGATGTTGCATACTGTGCCTCTCTTGGCAGTCACTCACCAGAGCAGAGTTGCAGAGTCTGCCTCCACACTGTCTTGCTTGACATTCTCTGTCTACCCAAGTTGGTGTCATCTGATGAGAGTGGAACCTCTGTGGTGGTGTGCTTCCTGTGCTGATCTTTGCATTGCTCAGTCTATAACCAGAGGCTTGCTGTGGGGTCTGGGAATTTGTGCGCTTTAACTAAAGGTAGCTTTCTGTATCTAGGTATTTGAAAGCAGCTGGCAAGCTTCCCATGGGCACGCTTTAGGCCTTAGCTCTGTCTAGCACTTGCTACAGCCTGCTCCATTGTTGGGGGAGTTAGCTAGTGTCAATCCAATCTATGGCTCAGGCCAGATGCTCACCATGTGAACACGGCTCGGTTCTGACTTAAGGGTTTTCATTGTAGTTAGATGTACTCTACAGGTCCACACTGATTTCTCTCACAGAAGATGGTGACTTTGTCTGGAATAATTTTGGGGTGTGTCCAGGATTTTTATATTGTGCATGGTGTGTGTGTGTGTTTATGCATGTGTGTATAGTTTGTATGCAGACATAGAGATTCAGAGGTTTAAAATATGAAACTCTTGTGAGAATGAATCAGGTGAATGAATCAGGTGAACGCTCACCCCACTGCCTGGAATACAGTAAGTGACATCTGTTTGCTTCTACTTGCAGCAAGAAATAGAGGCTCTTCTCCTCTTCATAATAAAATAAAACCATTTAATTGTATTGTGTTGGGGTTACACATTGCTATGGTGTGCTTGTGAGAGGTGGTTCTCTTCTTCCACTGTCTGGGTCCTGAAGATTGAATTCGGGTCATTGAGCTTGGTGGCAAGTGCCTTTACTTTCTAAACCATCTCACTGGCCTCTTTTCCTAATACTCAATGCCTTGGAGGGGCTGGAAAGAAGACCCAATGGAAACATTCTGTAATCTCAAACTTGTCAACTTGTTTTTCCCTTTGTACCAGGGGAAGGAAGGGATTCCCAGTGTGGTGCTTTTGGGTTAGTAGAAAGTGAATGAGCTCAATGGAAGCAAATATGGAGAGAAGTAGCGGGGCGTGGGGGGGACTGGAAAAATATAGATGCATACTACTGAGACAACCACACTTGGGGTTGAGGCTCCAAACTAGGAATACCTTTACCCTTAGACAATGGATGGGCTTAATCCAAAAGCAGCAGGAGTCCTAGAGTGTAAGCACAGGCCCTAGAGCCCTTTGGGGCACACATCTGTGAGCCTTCAGAGCAGGCCCTTCCCAGCTGTCTATACCATTGATCATTTACAAACCGGGAGTCACCTCCATTCCCAACCTGTTTCAAGGGCTATTATTAAGAATATAGACATGGGGGAAAGTTTCCTTTTTTTTTTTTTTTAACAAAACTGCATCAATGAAGTCAGAGTATAGTATGGCACTAGATGGGGAAAGCAAGTGAACTGCTGAGGCCTACTGCCTGGAAAATACCAAGAGTTGTAGACTGTCAGGTGGACTAGGAAAATTAGCATGCCGATACTCCAAGTTCTTGAGAAAGGATGCTTTATTTTCTCAATGAGGGCTGGCTGGTAGATTAGGCAGGAGAGAAACCTCCAGCCAGAGGCCTACTCATGGTCTGCTGTTACTTTGATTGACAGGTATGGCAGCTGTTCCTGATGCCCTGGACCATTCCTCCTCCTCAACACTAAAAGATGGGGAAGGGGCGTGTTACACATCTCTGATCTCTGACATCTGTTATTCGACTCGGGAGGACCCTGCATACTTCACAGGAATTCTGCAGAAGGAAAATGGTCACATCACCACTTCAGAGAGCCCTGAGGAGCTGGGGACCCCTGGACCCTCCTTACAAGAAGTGCCTGGGATGGAGCCACATGGCTTACTGAGTTCTGATTCAGGGATAGAGATGACTCCTGCAGAGTCCACTGAAGTGAACAAGATCTTAGCTGACCCCCTGGACCAGATGAAAGCAGAAGCTTATAAATACATTGACATAACTAGGCCGCAGGAGACAAAAGGCCAGGAGCAACCTCACCCTGGCCTAGAAGATAAAGACTTGGACTTGAAAGACAAGGACATGGGAGTCTCTACAAACCTGGAAGGAGTTAGTGCACTTGACCAGCCAGTTCCTGTGGAGGGGAAGGTCATCAAGGACCACTTATTTGAAGAGTCTACCTTTGCTTCTTATATAGATGACCTCTCTGATGAGCAACACAGAGTGCCTCTGGTCTCTGCCCCTGTCAAGATTACACTGACAGAGATCGAACCTGTCATGACTGCCACACATGAGGCGGCAACCCCAGAGAAGCAAGACCTGTGTCTGAAGCCAAGTCCTGATACAGTCCCCACTGTCACCGTCTCAGAGCCTGAAGATGACAGTCCGGGATCTGTCACTCCTCCATCTTCTGGAACAGGTAAAGACATTGGTAATTCTCCACTTTGGGAAATCCCAAGCCTATGGACGGCTGAAGTCCCAGAGTATGAAGGGACAAAGACTTCCATTCAAAATGCTTGCTTTTTTGGTTCCTTTAAATCACATTTAATTTACTGGTTTAATTATCACACAGCCTTTTCAGGTCTGTGTCCACTGTACATAGGTATCAGTCTGGGGTTCCCCTTAAAGTCCTGTTGGGTTTTCTTTGTAAAGTCTTTCTGTCTTTATTTAATGGGGAGGAGGTTAAGTACGACACAATGGAAACATCATCAGTCTCCTCAGAGCAGGAAAGTGCCACTTCTGGGACATTAGCTCTTCTCCCATGAGCCACTGGGCCTCTTGGAGACACTATGGGGAGAGGACTGTGGCTGGGTGACTTTGTGTAGGACATGTAACATGCCTAATATAGGCTCTGCCTCTGTGATACAGAAAGGGTTGGAGTAGGAGGGGCTTAGGCTCCTTTAGGGGTGGTACAGGCAGGAAAAGGCAATCTCAGAGGGATGCTCCTTCCTACTGCCCTCAGTCCCGACACTGTCTCTTTACCTGCTTCCATTCCCTAGAGGTCTACTTGCAATTGCATATTTGAGAGTGAAAAATAGTTTTGATTCAAACAGGAAACCCTAGAGTCTATGAGCTCAGTAAGTAAAGATTGGCATGAGGACCCGAACCCAATCCCTAGCACCCAGATAGAAAGAGATGGATGTGATGGCAGGTTCTTGGAATCCTAGCACTGGAGAAGCTGAGGCAGGAGATCCCTGGAGCTGCTGGGTCAGTCAGTCAGTCCTACTCAACTGGGAGCCTGAGGTCTCAATGAGAATCTTATCCCAGGAAAACAAAACAAAACAAAACAAAAACAAAACAAGGGGGATTGATTGTAAACGGAGGTGGTGCTTTCATTTCCCAGCCACTCAGTACCAAAATAAACACATAGAAAGAAGCTTAGTATTAATTACAAACTGTTTGGCCTATTGCTCAGGCTTATTACTAATTAGCTCTTACAACTTAAATTAATCCATACTATTAATCTATGTTTTACCACATATCTCCTGGTGTGATCTGTTCTCTAGTACATACATCTTGCTGCTTCTGTGTCTCTCTGGCATCTGTCCCAGACTCTGCCCTTCTATCTCCCTGTATTTTCAGTTTGCCTTTCCCGCCTGGCTTTATCCTGCCTTGCTATAGGCCAAATCAACTTCTTTATTAACCAATGGGAATAAAACATATTCACAGCATAAAAAATGGTTATCTCACAGCAGGGGATGGCTTCTGAGGGATACCTGAGGTTGTCTCCTGGCCTCTACACACATGCAGAGCCTATACACAGACTTACACATACACACACACACACACACACACACACACACACACAGAGAGAGAGAGAGAGAGAGGGGGGGGGACGACAGAGAGATAGAGACAGACAGACAGACAGACAGACAGACAGACAGAGGAGAGACAGAGACAGTTAGAGACAGAGTTTAGCTAATGGGCCTGGCCTAGCCCCTGCTTGTCTGGCACCCCTAAGAGACCACACTGTGCCAGCTGTTTATAGCTCTTTATCTAGGGGTGGGGATTTTGAAATCCCCACCCCATCCTTGGCATGTAGACTGGTGGTGCCATTACATAGGTCTTGTTTATGCACCCATATAGCAGAGATTTCATGGGCACAGCCTCCCTGTCACATCTAGAAGACAGCATCTAATAGTAGGCATCCTGGTCCTCTGGCTGTTACAATGTTTCTGCTGAATCTTCCACAATGTTCTCTAAGCCTTAACTCTAGGCTTGAATTGTAGACATACTAACTAAGGCTTGGACGCCTGTGATAATTTATTCTGTGTATTTTGGACCATTTGTGGACCATCTGCTTCTTTGATGAGGAGTGAGAGCTACACTTAAATGTGGATATAAGGATAAGTATTAAGAATACAGTTAGGAACTATATTAATTTATGAAGGTGTCAGTGGCAAACATCTAAGTAGGATTTATTCAAGAAAGAAAGGCTTGATCTCTAGGGTCTAGGACCTTTCTAGCCATAAGCAGTTAGCTGGGTTTACAGGCATATATCCCTACCTATTAAGCAGGCCTCAAGTTCAGCTGGATAGCTTTTGGTAACCTCCAAGATCTAAGTGTCACTACTGCACCTCTGGAGGCATTTTCCTGCACTTGTCATTGTTGTGGTTTGTGGTCTTAAAGCTGCAGAGAACTATTGATTGCCATTCTACCTTGTCAGTGTGCACGGAACTTTTGGAGACTATGAGAGCTGGTCTTCAGGGAGGCAGCTGTTTGGTCAGTTCCTGCTCAATGACTCTGAGTCTTGGTCAGAAGTGTGTGCTATCTCCAGCAATAGGCTCTTCCCTGTGTTTTTGTTGGCTACCAACCTATCTGGAAGAACAACCCGAGCTCTAAGAGTCACAGGCAGAGTTGCAGAATGCAGGTGTCAGAGCTCCCTCCAGACCTTTTGCTAAGTTAGGGCAACCTGAAGCTGCATGCCTCAGATGAACTATGGTTAAGAACTACAGTTCTGGGCTGGGGAGATGGCTCAATGAGTAAAGTGTTTGCCATGTAAGCATGAGGACCAAAGTTCAGAGCCCTAGCACCCACATAAATGTTGACTGGGTGGGTATGTTGGCCTACCTGTAATCACAGTGCTTGGGGAACGGAGGCAGGGAATTACCGGAATATACTATCTAGAGTAGATGAATTAGCAAGCTCTGTGTTCCAATGAGATACATAGAGATTGATGCCCAACATCAATCTCTGACCTCTGCATGCACACACGTGCACACATGTATGAACATAACACAATGGTGATGATGATGATGATGATAAACCATTGTCCTGACATTTTGAGGTAACTCTCTTGCAAATGTCCTTTCAACTTCCTGTGTACCAGGCACTGAAAAAGATGCCGGAGTAGTGACAATGAATACATAGTCCTTGACTCTCCTTTCTTTCTGTGACACGTCAGTCTATGGTCACTGAAAGTGGGATGGAGGATAGTGAAGACACAGACTCATTACACAATGCCCAAGGCCGAAAGCTCTGCAGAAGGAGTAGACACCCACCCATCTTCTGCAGGATGCAGCAGCAGGCCAGCTGGCACAATGACAAGAATGCTAGATCCATCTGCAGGATGCAGCAGCAGGCCAGCTGGCACAATGACAAGAATGCTAGACAAGAGGAGCTGAGCCAGTCCCACCAGCTCAAGTGCTCAGGAGCCTTCACCAGAAGAAAGCAGGGGGAGATGTGCCGTAGGATGTAACATGAAAAATAAAAGACCTAGAGACAGATATTGGGGCTCAAGCTTCAAGCTGAAGATCAGAAAAGCAACACAGCCGGCCACTAGCTCTTACCTCTACCTCAGTTCAGACCATAGGGGAGATCCTCAGACTGCTCCCGACTTCACTGCTCCTCAGATTCACTCAGACTGCTATGCTCTCCTCAACATGGCTAGAAACTAACTCTCGGGCTGAATGCCAGCTCTGAGACCCTGCTCCTGTCTTAAATACCTCCCTAACGCTGTTATTAAAGCCAGGTGATCCCAGGCACTGAGACCACCTTTGTGTGAGCTGTTTCTTTTAGGACTGGGTCAATTTCATGTAGTCAGTATGGCCTTGAACTAACAGAGATCCATCTACCTCTCAATCCTGAGTCCTGGGATTAAAGGTGTGTGCCTGACTTCTATGGCTAAATAGTATGGCTTCTTGGATATTTTGATCTCCAGTGGGTTTAATAAATCATAAGCAATATATCACCACTTTAGGAAGGGAAGACATATCCCACTCATGGTCTCCACTGCCCGACACATCGTCCTTTGGACCAGCTCATTGTCTGACTTCTGTGCTTCTGTGCTGTGGAATGCTTGCTTGCCCGTGGATTCAGCCGGCCTCAAACTTCCTGTGTGACTGTTGACATCTTTCTCTCACTCAAGTAAATTAGACCCTGTGACTCTTTATTCCTCTCTCTCTTCAGTGTAGCGAGTCTTTCTGTGTCCCACCAGTCAGTTTCCAAATAATGACATGGAGACTTATTAACTTTGAAAGCTCAGCCTTAGCTTAGGCTTGTTTTTAACTAGCTCTTATGACTTAAATTAACCCATTTCTATTAATCTGCTGTGTCTCCCACAGCAGCATCTCTCAAGCACCTAGATTCATCTCCTCTTCCTCTCTCTCCCTGGAAATCCTGCCTATACCTCCTGCCTAGCTATTGGCCGTTCAGCTTTTTATTACACCAATCACAGCAAATACATCTTCACATAGTGTGCAAATATCCCACACCACCTCGGTATTAACATGCTGTGGTCCCCCAAAGTCATTAAGTTGTCCTAATTTTTACCCTTAGCTACTGCAGATCATTCTTCTTTCCCTCTTGAACTTACTCCAGCATCCACAATACCAATAAGACAATGACTCAAACCAATTTCCAGAACCAGAGATCTGCTTACCTTTTTCAGACATATCGTCCAGATCTTTCCCTGTAATACTTCAACTGCAGTTTTGATGTAACTTCTTGCTTGATGTGCATACCTTTGCTATGATTAGACTTACTCTGCTCATGGTCTAGGCCACTGTGACTAGTTCCATTGGAAGAGATCAAATTCAAGCCTTCTTGTATCTCATCTTGCTTTAAAAAAAAAAAAAGAAAACCTATTCCTCAGCCACTGAAATCATGCATTACAGTGTTTTTGTTTGTTTGTTTGTTTGTTTGTTTTGTATGCACTCAGAGTTGTGGTCAATCATCTTACTTTAGAGTATTTTCGTTAACCCCAAAGAAATCCTGGACCTTGTTTGGTTACCTTTGAATTTTCCCATTCCTTGAAATCATCAACCTACACTCCATCTCTATGGATTTGCTTATTCTAAACACTTTATATAAATGAAATATTATATTAATGCAGTTCATCATGACTTATCTCACTTAGCACACTAACCTGAGATATGTTTAATCATATATCTTTATTCCCCGCCCCCTTTTTAAGGCCAAAGAATATTCCTCTACAAGGGCATATCATATTTAATTTTTCCTTATGGATAAATTATGGATATTGGGTTGTTACTACCTCTTGTTTAGGCTGTTTCATCTGAAGTAAAGTTTTCATGTAGAATGAGGCAGGATCTAGCTTCATTCTTTTGCATGTGACTCTCCAATCATCTTTCCTCTCTTGATTTCCAAACTATGACTGGTCCCATCTTAGGCTTTATTTCCTTTGGAAACAGGAGAACACAAAATAAAGCACTTGAAACAGAAAGACACAAGTTTAGATTCAAGTCATTTCTGCCAGGACACCAGTAACACCACAGGAGTTGTACCTGAAGAGGTAGAAACAGTGATGTGTAAATGTGTGTAGAGATGTTCAAAGAACCAACAGACAATGAAGAAACCTTAATGCTAGGGAGCCATTACTATCCCTGTGCCTAGAGGAGCAGGAAGAGAAGATTCTAGAAACCCACTAAAAACTAGAGCTTCAGAAGACATGGTGAGCTAGGAACACTGCAACACCTCCCTTCCTCCAAAAACCAGTGTGGAAGGGATCCTGGACAATGTACAGAATAGGTACAAAGTGATAGGACTGAACTAAAGTGGTCAGAGAGAGAGAGAGAGAGAGAGAGAGAGAGAGAGAGAGAGAGGCAGGAGTGTAGCTCTATTAGACAGTTGCTTAAGCTATTGCCACAAGGCTGTAAGCTCCATACATAAAGTGCCTTCACCCAGCCCATGCTTGAAGGTGAGGAGCTGTGCTGTTGCCACCACTGTGCTCTGAAGGCATAGACCACGTCTTCATTGACACCCTTGCCCTGCCATTCTTAGCCCACCATGAAGTAACTTGATGTAACTTTTATACTGCTATTTTGTTTGAAATTATAGCAAAGAACTAATCGCATGGCTTAGATAGCATGCCATTATGAGCATAGTATGAGACAATTACAATAAACATAAAAAAACCTTAAGTTTTGACTTCATTTTTGAGGTGAATTTATAATTACATTTCTCCTTTCCCCTTCTTCCCCCCAAACTCTCCCGTATACCCCTTCCCATTTTTCTTTAAATTCTTGACCCTTTTCACTAATTCTCACAGCATGTATGTATGTCTATCCATATATATTCTTAAGTATAACTGTTCAGACCATATAATATTAGTTGTATGTTTTCAGGAGAAGCAGTTGTTTTAAGACACTAAAACACAGAGTAATCATTTCCCTACTCTGATGATTGCTTTTTCCACCCAGGTTAAAAACCTCACAAGCTCTGACACATCCCAACTTGCTACCTCTTCTATCATCTTGCTGTCACCTAGCATGCTATGTTACTTCACTTACCTTTACACATAACTGTTTGTATGTTGTGATTCCTTACCATTAGGTTACAAGCCAGGGCAAAAGTCCCTGCTTAATACACTGACGATGTGTAGGGTAAATCTGACCCTGCTTTATAGAACATTAAAAAACTCTAAAATATTTTATCATGGTCTCACTGAATCCTAGACTCACAGGTGATGTATCATAGTTAATTTTCTCCTCTTGCCTCCCTAGAACCCCACAATGACCCCAGTGTTTTGCAGGAAGCTTTGGATAGTTAGTTCTGCCAGGTAGGGTCTGGAGATGACTGTCTAAGATTCCCAGAAGAAAGGCCCTGCCCGCTCTATGGCAAGGCAGTAGCAAAAGCCTGAACACTGTTGTCATGGTGATCCCAGCAGCCAAGCTCAGCAGGGTTGTCAGTGTGGCCTCCAGGCCATCTGGAAGAGCATCAGGCAGAAGTCAGACACTTGCCCCAGGGACTGGGCTGATTCTAAGTTGATGCCTTCTCAAGGCCACATGCGTGGGAAGGGGCACACAGTAGTGGGTTGCCAGAGTGGCAGTCCCACGGGATGGCAGAGCTGTTAATCCAATGATCCACCAGGGGAAACGGGCGAAACCTTTGGATTTTAGGCTTTAAAAGTACAAACATTCCTATAGAAAATGTTAGGCTCAGAAGTCAAGTCTACCCAAGCTTGTCTTCTCTTATTACGGAGAAGGCATAAGCAGCCAAGGGCACATATGGTGGTGATGGGGGATAACTTTCTTATTTCTGATGTTCTTGGTGGACCGTTAGGGATATGTGTCCATTTGATTATCTGATGAAATCTGCAAATCTGAGAAACTCCCCTGAGGAATCAAAAATTAAAACTTCCAGAATCTTTGGTGCATCAAGACAAAGCAGCCAAGATTCTGTTGCTAAGAAATGACAGGGTCATTTTTTAAAGAACAGCTGATTATGATGGATAGGTATGTAAAACACTGATTAATTGGACCACAACAGTAATTAGCCTTAGTTTCGGTGGCCTGTCTTTCCAGCAAAGCCCTGGAAACAGACTATTTCTGTACTAATGAGATGTGTGTTTCTGAAGCAACGACAAAACATCTCCCCTAATGGAATTTTGTTTTATTTCTTTTCCCTCTGTCCATCTGTCTGTCCGTGTGTGTGCTTCTCTGGTTCTCCTTCGCTCTGTGGGATGACAGAACCATGTGCTGCAGAGTCCCAGGGGAAAGGCAGTGTCTCTGAGGATGAGTTGATCGCTGCCATTAAAGAAGCAAAGGGGTTGTCATATGAGACCACCGAGAGTTCAAGGCCAGTGGGCCAGGTGGCCGACAGACCCAAAGCCAAGACCAGGTCCGGGCTGCCCACCATCCCCAGCCCCCTGGACCACGAGGCCAGCAGTGCGGAGTCCGGAGACTCAGAAATTGAGCTGGTGTCAGAGGACCCCATGGCCTCCGAGGATGCGCTACCCTCCGGCTATGCGAGCTTCGGCCACGTGTCAGGCCCGCCCCCGTCTCCGGCCTCGCCATCCATCCAGTACAGCATCCTGCGGGAGGAGCGGGAGGCCGAGCTGGACAGCGAGCTCATCATCGAGTCGTGCGATGCCTCCTCTGCCTCAGAGGAGAGCCCCAAGCGCGAGCAGGACTCGCCCCCGATGAAGCCAGGCGCCCTAGACGCCATCCGCGAGGAGACCAGCACTCGGGCCACCGAAGAGCGAGCGCCCAGTCTCCAGGGCCCTGCAGAGGCCAGCCCGGTGCTCAGCTTCACCCCCGCTGCCCTCCAATCCCGCCCGGAGCCATCGTCGGGCGACGGAGCGCCGGCCCCCGAGCCGCCCACATCACAGCAGCTGAAGCCTAAGGAGGAAGCTGAGAGTTCCAGCCAAAGCCCCGCGGCCACCGAGAGTCCGGAGCCGCTTGGTCCCAGCCTCGTGCCCATTCTACCCTTCTTCAACAAGCAAAAAGGTAAAGGGGCAGCTTTTCTGGTCCAACCAGGGTTGTCCCGCCAGAGTCCTCCCAGGGTGGCCTGAGGTATCAGCAGGAAAGCTGAAGCTGTCACCGTGATGGGGACACAGCTAGCAGAATAGTGGGCATGGTTGGAGAAAAGAGGCTTGACTCACAACGGGTCCGACAGAAGTGGCAATGGACCACTGGCCCCAAGCCCCAATCACAAATGGCTTTGTGTACTCCGGGGACCTGAATTTGGTGACTCCACTCTTCCTTCCATTGCTGGGAATCTTCCAGGCTTGTTTCCGCTTTCTACCTATTTAAAGATGGGACCTGGATAGATCCTTTCATGCCTAAACCTGCCTTTAGTTCAGTTTTTCCTAAATGGGGCATGTGGAGCTCAGCTCCCCCTTCTTTCTTAAACCCAAAGAACCAGAGATTTGTTTTTCTGAGTTGTAGATAATCAGAAAAGATAGGGACCAAAATTGCTTCCACGGTTTGTCTGTCCCCTGGCAGCACCTAACATGACCCAGTAATCATTAAAGTCGTTTATAATTTAGAATTCTTTTATGCTAGTCATTAGGATCTCCCTCTGAGAAAGTCTTCAAACGAAAGAAGTCAGTATTTTGTCGTCCAGACCCCGTGGACATTCTTCCACTGTCTGGAGTTGCCCACCGAACCTGACTGCAGATTCATCAGGCATTTCAGGGCTAAGTGCATCATGCTGGAGAGATGGCTCAGCGATTAAGACTTTTGCCTGCCCTGTCAGAGGTCTTGAGTTCAATTCCTAGCGGCCTCATCATGGCTCACAACCACATCTAGTGAGATCTGGTGCCCTCTTCTGGCCCGCAGGGATACATGCAGGCAGAACACTGTATACATATAAATAAATAAAAATATATGTAAACATTTTTTTAAAAACAGATGAATATATGAGGTCTACTCCTGGCCATCTCCACTCTTTGTTTCTTTACAGATATTTTGCCCAGTTTCAATGATATACCTTCTCAGCTGTGCCTTTGCTAACCTGAAGTGTTTCATATAAAAAGAGAGAACAAAATCTTTCTTACTATAGATTGGAAGCCAACCTATGAAACAAAATTATCACATTAGGAGGGGAGGACCTGGAGGGATGGAATAAAAAAGGTAGCTTTATTATATGGTTGGGGGGGGCAAGCTAAGTGGATTGTTGTTGTTGCACTTGGGGGGGATCAACCCAGTCCCAGCCTGTTTGACTCTTGATTATCCAAATAACTACCTCCAGAATTTTAAGTGTATTTTATGCGTGCAATAGGAGGATATTTGAAGTCAAATGTAAGTGTAAGACTGTGTATTTGCTTGATGACTGCTGAAATTAATTTAGATTATTTTACCACCACTCTGATTGGGATGGAGAAGAGCCCTGTGCCTTTCAGGAGTGTGGGCAACAGCACTGACACGAACAACTTCAGTGTCCTGGGACCTGGAGTCATGCTGCCTGTGTTCATGTCACGTAACATATAACAGGCATAGCTCCTCTTTAGTCCCCAATGTTCCTTAAGCAGTCACTATGCGCACAATGCTATTCAAGCATGTTTATCTTGAAAAATAAGTGAGTCTGAGGACTGAAGAGAGAGGCTAAATTTGCAGGCCCATTGCTTTCCCTGGGAAATCCGAGAGAGAAGCACAACAGCTGGGGCTGGCTTCACAGACATCTGCCGCAGACCTGTAAAGCCTGGGTTCTGAGTGCAGGGCCTTCGGTGTCATCCAGATCTCTGCGCAAGTTCCCCACACAGCTTAGACCTTCTGTTGCCAAATTGACACACTAAATAGAAGAGAGTGGCAGTCTTTTCAAAGATCCAGGGGTACCAGGGTGAATAACCTCCGCCCTCTTCTGCACTGAGGAGCCCTTTGAAATCTAGTCCCCCACTGAAGTCCACTGCTCAGCTGCACTGTATGAAAAGGCCACTCTGGAGAAGCCGAACCAGAGGCCTGGGGGAATGAGTCAGCATCATGGGCTGATTTGTGCTTTGAGGCTCCCTCCTGGCTTAGCAGCTCCATTTCAGCAGGTGAAAAGCATAGAGCTGCCAAGCTTGCCCTAGGCTGTTCTTAATCACTGTCGACAGCCAGGAGGTTGGTGCTTAGGCCAAGCATGAGTGCCCTGAACTGTGGGGTCACCTGTGGTTTCCTGCTCATGTCCAAGGAAGCATCAGTGGCAGAAGTGTTCCGGTTTATGCGTCGCAGGAAGGCTTCCTCCTCTCTCCAGCTTTGGAGCTGTCTGACTGACACTGCTCTGCATTCCAGGACTTGGAAGCTTTTAAAGCAAGACTCAGCTATCTGATGGCGTCATGGTGTGTGAGACAGAGGCACCAAGCTTAGTGGTCCCCCGCCTGTGATTTGAACGGTTCTCACCTTCCAGAGTCCTCTGCAGCTATGGAACTGGAGATAAAATATTGTTCTTTGTTTGTCTTATTATTCCTCCTGAGCAGGCCTGCCCTCCAGTGCTCTGTGTGCTCCCCCTCCACACTTCCAGAACACTCTGACACAGTGTTAGTGTCCTCACACTGGAAAGGGGGGGAAACCATTTCCATTTCTGCAAGGTTACCTCAACTCTCAGGAACGTGCAAACGAAAGGCTAACTTTTAAAATCCTCAATAAAACATTTAACACCCAAAGTGACTCATCAGGATAGGTGTATTCTGGGCTATGGCAGTTAGCTGTCACAGTTCCACCTAAGGCCGTTCTGAAAATCAAAGGACTCCCTTACTTGCTAAACCCATGGCCTCTTCTCTGTCTAATTTTTCTTGTCCTCTCTGGTACAGTCCTGATCAAACTTTAAAATATCATATATAAGGAAACCTACTTTCAATTTTAAAAAAAAGGAAATAAATCATAAAACAAAACAAAACACCAAAACCTAGGTAAGGGCTAGAGAGATGGCTCAGCAGTTAAAAGCACTTACTACTCAGTTCCCAGCCAGCACCTAGGCTGGATGGCTTACAAGGCCCTGTAACTCCAGCTTCAGGGCTTCCAATGCCCTCTTCTGGTCTCCAAGGGCATCATAGTCACATGCACACACCCACAATATATATATAATTTAAAAAATAAAGTTATAAAAAGTAAGTATTGGCTAAGAAAGCAATGAGTAATTTTAATATGAATTTTTATTATATGAATGATGCGATATTGTACGTTTTAAGTTTAACTCATTACTTTTATTTTTGCTCAGGTAGGGTGTCACCAAGTTGCCCAGACTGGGCTCAAACTGACTCTGTGATGCAAGCAGATTTTGAACTTGCAATTCTCCTGCCTCACGCTCCCAAGCCTCTGAGAGTCCAGGTCTGTGCTAGCAGGCCCAGCTTCATAAAGTTTCCTGGAACAGTAAAGAAAGGGACACTATCAGCTCATCTTGAGATCCTTCACTCCCTCAGAGCTTCTTCTCTGACTGCACTCAAGTTTCTCCTTCCTGGTTCACATCTTACTAGCCAGCCTCTTTCCAATCTCTTGTTGCTGATATATTCCAGAGTCCTTGCCTCTTTTCAGGCCCTCAATCCCAGGCTAACCTCCTGCACTGGACTTTGAGCTAGCTGATGGGTTTTCTCCACTAACTGCCCAGCCTCTCACTTTGGAGACATCAACTCTTTTGAGCTCCAAGTGCATTTTCTCACTGTGCTTGGGCAACTCGTAGACTTCCCGAATTCAATGCGCCCATGTTATTTGTCAGTCTTCTCTTTCCTTCTTCCCTCCCTTCCGGGGCAAATGAACTGATATTATTTGATTTCCACTCATGCCCCATGATTATAACTTTCATATTCCAAACTTGCTTAGGGCCGGGTTACAGCACAGTGGTAGCTTGTCAAACACACATAAGGCCCTGGGTTCTATTCAGTCCTGCCAAAACCAAGACTTTACGAGGACACTCTGACAATAGCTATTACAGTCTTAAATAGCCATGCCCTTTGGTATGGTAAAGACTTCATCCTCTGAAATCCTACAACTGGCAGATAGGTGTGTGTGTGTGTGTGTGTGTGTGTGTGTTATAAGATACATATTAGATATATGTGAAAGTATATTTTATTTATCAAGCTACACATGTGAGTATCCTTCACATAGCATTCTTTATAATAATAAAAGTCTTGAGAGGAACATTCCACAGACAGGGGGCTGAGCATGCAGTGGGTTTCAAGTAAAGGCACTGAGTCTGGATCTGAGTAGTGATTGGTCCTTCGGTGAATCTGAAAGCACTCGGCGCCGACCCAATTATAAACACTTTGGTGTCTGCAGCAGTGTTTGTCTATAAGACTATCTCTGAAATGATTCAGAATGCCCTTAATACCTGAAAACACCACTATAATAAGCATATACAAGGTAACCACCATCGTAGACCCTCAAGAGTGCAACCGCTCACCTGGTTCGATAAACACTGCTTTCTGTCAGCTGTTCCTTCACTGTTGCCTGAACAACTGCAGTATTGTTAAAAGTTCATGTCCCTACCCTGCCTCTACCTTGAAATTAGAGAGTGGGAATGAGCCAAGACTTAAATATGAACTTAAAACCAGTACACTGAGGGGCTAGAGAGATGGCTCCGTGGTTAAGAGCACTGGCTGCTCTTCCAGATGTTCTGAGTTCAATTCCCAGCAACCACATGGTGGCTCACAACCATCTACAATAGGATCTGATGTCCTCTTCTGGCCTGCAGGCATACATGAAGAGCACTCATACATAAAATAAAAATAAATAAACTAAAAAACAGTACACCGAAGCTTGAGAATTGCTTCAATAGTCGGGTGAGCTAAGCAGCGGGCAGCACATCTCAAAAAGGATGCCTCGGCGTTTGTTTTTAGACTACTGATTGTTACACTACTGATATCACCTCCCCTGGCTCCTGTCCCCTGACAGCAAGCCTCTGCAGCCCCTTCCTCTCCTGAGACCAGCCACACAGCCCGAGTTTGGAAGCAAACTGTGTCAGGAAAAGGCTTGTCTCATCCTTGGGGCAGTGTTTACAAGAAGGCTACTAGATGGCGGGTCTTGTCACATAG